ACATCTGCCTAAAAATATCCCTGTATTTACTGCTCATATAATAATAAATAAAAATGTTTGCCGACGAGTTAACGGAATCTATAACAAGAATACAACCGCCCACGATAATCAATGTGTTTCTGTAGTCGCCATCTAGAGAAAGTCTCGGCTCCAGAGTCATCGCAATGAACAAGAAGCTCAGTGGGATAAAACAAGCAATGAACAAGGTTGAAATCATGACCACAATCTTAGAAACTTTTTGATTGCGAATAGTAACACTGTCTGCTTGTATACTTTTTGTTGACAATTTCCGCCACTGAGCTGTCTGTCGCAGTTTTACCACGAGAATTATTGTAGAAGTGATGATAACGGAGAATGCAAGCAAGAGGCAGACACGCGTTGTTGAAAGCGTAGGAAAACTTCTCCACGACGTTTCTGTGGTCTGTGTAGACAAGTCCCAGTAAGGTTTTGTTCCTGTCAGGGAAGAACTTCCAGCCCAGTCTATTGACGACATAGACAGGAGCCACACTGGACATCATCAGAGTGAAGATGAGAATAATGATCACAGCAGCTCGTGTTGGTGTGATGAGTGTCCTCACCTACACAAACAGAACAATAGTTGATTCAAAGTGGTTGCGTACTTAACTGCCTACAGCGGTCAACATTTTGTTTTCATAGGTTCACATTCATTAAGTACACTTAGTTAACAAATTACATACTTTCATGAGTCTTCAGAGGTGAAATTTATCATATGATTGCTTAAAATGAATAATCAGGATATTTTAAAACAACTTGTCACGCACATCAGAAGGATACAGACAGTCATCATTGTCAAGAACGTAACAATATAGAATACTCAAACATGACAGGAAACAGTATATAGCAATATAAAGGAAGATAACTTAAAAAGAGATTCTAAACAGCCTTTTATCATGACGTAGAGCTGTAACGGTGCATGAACTGTTGACATGTATGTGAAGCTTGTAGGTATTTTGAGGCTGAATAGCCTACGCCGGTTGTTTCTGCACTTCCGTGTGCTTTTCCCTCTGTTGAAATTTTCATCAACAATTTGTGTGGTGTGTTAAGTATTTTTTTTTAAAGAACACATATTTATGGAAGCTTAATATATATATATATATATATATATATATATATATAATATATATATATATATATATATATATATATATATATATAGTCCATTTTAAACAACCTTTGAATAAAAAAAAAGACACAAACAATAATGCACAATGTATTGCCTGAAATATTTCGCTGTACTTCGTCAGTGGTTTACTACAGTAACAGTTTAAAAAAAAAAGGAATCAAACAAGTGAATGCCTCACAACTGATCTTCAAAACAGCTGCGTCTTTTACCAGGGTCAGCGACAAGTCAACTGAAGGATCAGCGCCAAGTTAACTAAAGAATCAGCGCCAAGTTAACTAAAGGTTCAGCGACGAGTTAACTACAGGGTCAGCTACAAGTTAACTACAACGTCAGCGACATGTTAACAACAGGGTCCTCTACAAGCTAACTACAGGGTCAGCGACAAATCAACAATAGATTTAGCGCAGGTTAACTATCATGTCTTTTTGTTTACACTAACAGAGGTAGTGAATACTGGTAGCTTTACGAAATCTTTGCACTTTATGTCATTCAATAAATTGTGCAATGTATTGTTTTGGTCTTCTTCGTTTAAACTTTCATCAGGGAAACATTGCTTTCAAACTACCTTCATGGGAACAATAATGCACATACATCTCTCCAGTGTGATGAAGGCTGTGATCCAACTGCTCACTCTGGTGAAGGTTACGTGAGGATAGGCACTGGCGATGTACTGAATCTCCACGGCATCAAACGGTTTGTCCGAGGCTTCAAATGCTGGGGTGTAACTGATCTGTGTCCACACAAGCGTGATCAAACAACCGATATCAGCAATAGCCAAGCCTAATCAAATACACAAGAATGTGTTGACAAAAAAGCAGCGGGAATGAATAAAAAAAAAAGTAAATGCTTGTTTAAATGAATCTGGCATATATCAAGTTAGTCCGTGGATAAGGCGTTGCGAGTCCGACTTGTAATTCTAACGCACCGCGATCGAAACCCACTGCTATCTGTGTGGATTTTTATCATGGTATGGGACGTCGAATGTCGACCCAGCCTTAAATGGGTACCAGTATATATGTCCTGGGGAGGTAAATACGACCGGCGTGATGCTGACAACATTAACCACCTAGTGCCGATTGGTCTGTAAAAATATGGGTGCTTTTCCCATATGCACGATGCACCTTATGTCGTGAAAAATAATCTGTGCTTAATAAAATAAATAAATTTTTAATAAAAAAAAATTGAGATAATATTGAAAGAGAATGGGGGATTTTTAAAAAATGCATAGCGTCTTTGTGCGTATGTGTGTGTGTGCGCTCGCGCGCGCTCGCCCGTGTGTGTGGAGGTGAAAGAAATGTCCCCTGGTACAGGCACTTGAATAACTGAATTATAACAAGAACAAAGTTGTTATAATACCTAGCAGACTGACGTTGATTGGCTCTCTAAAGCCCTGCCGCACGAAACAGACGATGTTGACGATGTTGGCTGCGATACCAAACACAACGATACTTTGACCTATGACACAGTAAACGATCCACTGCAGAGTCTGCCTCAGACTGTCACTGATGAGATCTGTGGCCATAGACAGCTTTCTGCTGTCGTGTACGACTGGTTCCGTATACGTTGAGAGAGCTGTAGATATCGCGTACATGTTTGTGAAGATGCCAGCAGAGAATACCTAGTTACCTTCTGGCGCACACCAATGCTGGATGGAAAGATATATATTAGTTTAACTACAGCTTTACATTGAACTTAGACGTTTAAAGCGCAATAAAGATGAGAGCATTGACTTCACTGGACCTGGTCTTACAAAATGCTGGCCACTTGCCGAGAACGTCACATAAAGCACTCTCTCCGTTAGTTCCAGAGATGATTTTCAAGACCTGTGAACCGAGCTACCCATTCCGTAAAGTAAGGATCTTCAGAGCGAGCGTTAGGCAGCTTCACCTTACAGTCGGGTCTGAACAGAGAAGGGTGTTATAAATCTTATGATGGTGATGACGTTCAGCGCCACCAGGAAATCAGAGCGATAAACACCCGGTGACACAAAGTGCTACTTTTCGGATAGGGATCAACCGGGGTCAAGTCATAGAAACCTCGTTCAACCAATCGGCTGGGTTATATTAGGGTCCTGGAAACAGCCAAGGTTCGGCTTTCAAACAACAACAAAATTGCGTTCGAAATTAGGACAGCGGCGCTAACATCTTTTGAGGATTTGAGGATGGTTTTAAAATAATATTTTAAATTACTCATGCATCTAAATTCTGATTACTGGCAATTTTAAATATACAGTGAGTAATTTACTATCGGGAGCCGCTATGATGAAGTGGATAGATGCTCGCCTGGGGATTTAAAGTTTGGGAATTCAAGTCCTGATGCAGTTAGACTGTTTCGAAAAATGTCCTTGGCCCCCAGGTCAACCCCGCCTTAAATAGGTACCAGGTAAAGTCCTGGGAAGTAAAGGCGGCTGGTGTAATGTTGACCACATCACCCAGCGAGTGCCGATTGGTATAAAAAATATCAGTCTAACCCTGTACGCCCAGTACGTCTGAAGAAGGGGAAAATAGTACTTTCAGTTTCAGTCAACCCCTCGACCTGGCCAACTGGACTATAGTTCCTTCGCCCATTAGCAATACACCACTTGTGTATGGTTGTTGCTGTTTATGCTACTGTGCTCAAGCATGACTACTTTGCATGATTACAAATATCCCAATTTGTGTGTGTAAACAGGATTAGGAAAACGTGTTAAAGTGCTATGTAGAACTTGGAATACAAGTGAAACAGCAGCAGCAGCAGACAAATAAATACAACAGTCTAATAGCGGAGGGGATTTGTGTGTGTGATTTAGTTAATTTTTTTTTTTTTGGGGGGGGGGGGGGTCAAGTGAATAGAAGGAATATTATAGAATGAAAGAGAGCAGTCCTATTCGAGACAGATGCGAACAGAGATAAAAGAAATCATAGGTAGACAGGCAATATATTTAGGACAGATTATGACAACGAGTAGGCTATAGAGGTTGGTCACGACTGACAAGATTCTGGAGTAAATCGAAGCATCACTACTTGTCTGTATTCATGACATTCAACTAAAAGCAGATAGTGTCTCCTATAATATAATCTGTTTAAAAGCTGAAAATATTTACAAATATCTATTGCAGAATTTGCTATTCACTATCAGTAGCAACGATATTGGGAGTTTAAAACAGCTAATGATTTTTTTGAGAAATTCCAGAACTGGTTTCCAAATGATGTTAGATAAAGAGAGGGTGTTAGTGTTGACAAAAGTTACAAAACAGCCGCTAAAAAATTTCGTGAAGCAATTTCAGGAACTTGTAGAGTCGGAGGGTTACAGACCAGAAAATGTTTTCAGCTGCAACAAAAGTGGGCTTTTTCTGGAAGAAAATACATAAAACCACGTTCATCAACAAGCAGGCAATGGCTTTGCCAGGACAAAAGCGACGAAAGACTTGCTAGCATTTCTCTTTTGCGCCAATGCCATCAATACCTCTATTGGTTTATCACTCTAAAAAATCAGAGTCTTTAAAACAACAGAAACTTAACAGACACTGTCTTTGAAGGATAATTTTTAAATCACGCGCTCTGGACGAAAGAAGACCACGTCGCAGATAAATGTAGGTTACAAATTGTACATGACAGAAACAGATGAAGAAAATGTCAAGAGAAATTTCGTAGTAGAAACAAGTTAAATATAACAATATGAACTATGTACAGGAAGAGCTACTAGACGGTAATTTTCATTGAGAGCAAGTTATGTGTATAATTCGCACAAAGCATAATTAATCTTTCTGGAAGAAAGATTACTTGTAATTTAAAATAATAATCATCATGTCAGTGGTTTTTATAAAAGAATTATTGTCATCAACAATATCAACATATCACAGACATAGACACAGACAGACTAAAAATACAATTACAACGTTTATCTACAAAAATTGAAAATGCAGCGTCTTCTGTCCATTGTCAATTATATTGCTGTTTCTCTGTATTTAATTATGACATGCAAACATGTCTACAGTGTCAGCTAATCATAACAGAAACAATAGTCATCATTATCAGAAGGTTTTGATATAAGGAAATCCAGTAACATTTGGATAGTATCTACAGTCATAGCCCACGTATTATTTTGGTCTTTTTCACAGTATAATTGCTGCGACGCTGCCTGCACTTGGATGCTAATGTAAATAACGAGAAGTACTTTCCTTTCGAAACTTCATTGATACAAATAATTACCATGTACAAAGCCGGTATATTGTGATCGCCACAGTATAGGTATACATAACTTACTAGCACTTTAGTAGCTCATTCAGTTGAAGTTGAAGTTTGAACAACGGATCAACATCATGGCACACGGGTCGTAACCTATAAGTGCTCGTTTCTTTCTTCTAACAAGTCTGAGTCCGAAGAAGCTCAGCCCCGCGACCATTTTGTGTAGTACCGGCGAAGATCCTTGTATACTTTAGGTAGAGTGTCCAACTTTTGCCCGGGCAGTCTCGTTGGGCTACTCTTTTCGATTTATAATTGTCAAAGGATTTTTTACGTGCGCAACAATGCACACGGGTGTCCGATCTCACTACCCAGAGACCAGGGAAAATACTAGAAGTCTAAGTCCATTGAAAAACCCCAGCTCTTACCGAGGATTGAACCCAGAACGTCTAGCATTCGAGGCGGACACCATGCCTCGAGACCACTCAGCCCCTAATAACTCTTTCAAAAAGCAATTAGTATAGAAATAGCTACAAGGCCTTGGAAATGATGCTCTCTTGAATATATGTTTTACCTGTTGTGGTGCCTGGTAAACTATTTGTTTTACCTGTGGTGGTGCCTGGTAAATTATATGTTTTACATTTCATTTCAACATACCTGAGCTTTTTTGGTGACTATCAAAATGACAGTGTAGCTAATGTGCTTGTGTTGCCTAAAGCTAAACTGGCCTGGGAGAAGCGTTGAGAAGACAGGGCTTGGTTAATTTTGCCAAAATCTTGGAATTCATTTCATTGCTCCGTTGTGCTAGTATATGACACATAGGGCTAGCAGTCTTATTCCCAATTTCGTTCTGTACTGTGCAAATCTTTCGATTTCATGGATTGAATCAAGTCTATCATACAATGCTGTTGTAACAGTGTAAGAAAGATGTTTCGTTGTGGTCTATTGTACCCACCTGTTAAACGATGGAAAAGCCACCACTTAGTAAAGTGTTGACTGCTGGCTAAAGTTTTGGTTTTGTTGGATATCCTTAATTGACAAACGGGCGCAACAAACTGTCACTGACTTCTCTTAACGAAGCTTCACTTATGGTCCTTTAAAGGATAGTTACTGTTCTTATCACACCTGCTCTCTTTCTCTCTGTAACACAATGTAACACATTGTCATTCGTTGACGGAAGTTGTTAGTAACTCAACCAAAATACCTGGATACAGCTTAAGCCACTCGATGTCTTTATCGTTTTGGAAACCTTAAGTGGCGAAATTTCTTTTTTCATTTGGACACCTAAAGTAAAATAAATAAAAAAAACCTTCCTAAGTTGCTCACTTATATTGCTAGGTCGTTTGTGAAATAGTAAGGTCGGCCACTATCCCTAGGTCACCTTTAAGCCGTTCAGTGCCTTTAGCCTTTGTGACATCTTAAGGTGCTCAATGTTGTTCTCGTTTGGGAAAGCTTAGGTCACTCATTTGCCAACCTTTCTTGGTAAGTCACTAATTAGCATTGGTACTATTCAAGTCACTAAAGTGTCTTTTCTATTAGGGAAACACTCGATATCTTTGTCCGTAGAGACAGCTTAAAGCACACAACCATACGTCTTTCACCGGCTGTCCCTGACGACTCGGACAAACGGCGACTTTCTGACAACACAAGGTGACATTCAGAAAAAACAAAAACACAAGGCGACTTTCGAAAGTCATGAGCCGACTTGAAGAAAAAGCGAGGCAACTTTTATAAACCAGAGGGCGACATTGCGCCAAGATCGTCGCCATTTTTACTAACTTGTTTTGTTTCACTGGGCATGTTAAGCTTCTTCAACTTTTCTTGGCACATTTTAACGTGGTCGTCGATTTGCTGTCGTCTTCCTCGATGACTTCGGCGTTGTCGTCGCTTTTTTCGTCGTATTTGTCGTCGACTTCATGGCTTACGTTTTTCAGTAAATCTCTCTGATGAGACGAACACGAGGTGACTTTAGGACAAAAATTAAGACTCTTCGTCTTTGCGGTTGTCTTCCTCGTCGTCTTCTTTGTTGTCGTCTCGTCTTCGTCGTCTTCATCCTCTCGTCTAGTCACCAGAGTCAACTCAGTCAATCTACACATCTAATCGTCCCTACAGCCACCACTTTCGTGCGTTCGTATAGTCTACCAGTTAACTGTGCAAATTTGGCTAAAGCAAGCTGGCAAGCGGGCTAATGGCGCAAAGTTGTCTTTGTCAATGTGTTGTGGTAACGGTTCGTCTCCGTCAGTGTCTTGTAATGTTTTGTCATCTACTAGCTGTCCTTACAGGGCGATTTTTATGAAGCTAGCCGTTGCTATTAAAACACGGAATGTTCAATTATTGTACAAATACAAGATTTATCAACTGTTATTCACGTAAGGTATCTTGCTATCTTACAAACCAGACACAAAGTATTCATACAAAAGGTGACTGC